AAAACGATATACCATGCATACATCAGATCTTTAGTGGATTATGCTGAATCTCTGCTTGCCTTGATGCCTGAAATAAAGCTTGGAGGACTTGAAAAATGACAGAAAGCTTTGCCGTTCAATAAATCTCTATTGTCATACCTTCCCTGATGTAAAAAAAAAAAAGCAAGAGTAACGCCAGTTCACAAAGGAGGTAATCCGGTAAACAAGTCCGCCTATTTTATTGGATGAATCATAGATATGTGGCTCCTCTTGCCTGATATTCCCGTTGTTGCAGATGTTCCAGATGCAGGATGTTCCAGCCACCGACGTTCTAACTGCTGATCTTCTAGCTGTTCATGTTCCAGCTGGCGATGTTCCAGTTGAAGATCTTGTAATTCGCATCAAAAATGCACTAGAAAAGACGCTGGCCCGACTTCTAACTAAATTCTTTACACAAGTAACACAACCCACCTCTCAGGCTGACCCAACAGACATCTAATCAACAGCCGTAGACAATGACTTCCGCCCAAACAAAGCTACCATTGCTGGACACACATCGTTTGAACAGATAATGGAATAACTCGTTAGCACGCCTTACCAAAATCACTCCCCAGGCTGACTTGCCACAAACCCCAGCCACCAGTACCAAGAGTAAAAGACAGCTCCCATCCATATCTAGGTATCCAACACGTACTACTATTGACATACCAAGGAAAACAGACATATCCGTAACCCATACATCCTAAATGGCTCCCTAACCTTCATGACTTGGAACGCAAAAAGCATTAAAACATCCCTCACAGAACTTAAACAATTCCTTTACTCATCCAAACCGGACATAGCTTTCATAACCGAATTCTGGCTCACCCCAAACAAAATCCTATTTTTAAAAACTTTCAGATGCAGAGACTGGACAGACCAAACCGTATGGGGGGGGTGGTATTTTCCTCCTAACACAGAGTAATATAACATGTAAACCTGTAACACTTACACATTTTATGAACGGTAAACTAGAATTTTAGCATGCCTAATACCTTACAATGGTACACTTTCAATAGTACAACGGTAATGGTATCCTTTCTGGTTATATACAACTGTAACGGTTCTATTGTTACGTAAAGTATGGTGACAAATAAACACAGACACTAAGATACTATATATATATTTGGTCGAATATACAGAAGTACACAGGTGATACGTTGGTGTGAGTTGAGCGCACTGAGCGTTGGTACAGTATCTCGCAAGTGTCTGCTCTAGACCACACTTGAAAGTAGACTAGCCAATGTTCGCTACACCGCTGCTTATATGCTCGGGCAACACCTCACCGTGTTGCCCAGGCAACGCCTCACCTCATTCATCTCCAAAGGTTGACAGGAATATTAACAATGCATTTGGAGCGAGTATATTATTGGGATAATCTACTCGCTACACAACCTTGGTGGCATAATAAACTTAAACGAACTGTAATTCTATCTTAACCAATTACGACACCCAATCATTGTTACAGATGATCTCAATGCTAACCACCCCACATAGAGTAGAAGTACTCAAAATACGGCAGGCACCGATCTATATAACTACTTAGACACTGCATCATATATTCTTCTTTCGCCGCCCTACCTTGCAACCTACTTTAACTACAGAACCAATTATGAAGCCTCACTTGATATCTGCTTTGGCTCCGCACACTTTCAACATGAACTATAGGGAAAAGGGGGGGGGAACATGGCAGAAATCATCAATTGTACAAGTTTGAGAATAAACAGCATTGTTTAAAAAAGCAAGACATGGGTTGACATTTAGGGGTTAAGGTAAGTTACATGGAGTTAATTAGGTAGTACTTGGTTTTACTCTCAAACTGGTTGAGAGAGGTACAACCTTTGACATGATTTGGGAGGTCATTCCACATTCTGTGTCCCTTGATTTGTAGAGCCTTTCTAGTTTGGTTAAGTCGCGCTCTTGGAATATCAAATAGGTATTTGTTTCTAGTGTGATGCCCATGAGTTCTATCACAACCTTCTTGGAAGCTTCTAAGGTCAGGATTGACATTGCAGTTCAGAGTTTTAAATATAGAGAGTACACATGAGAGGATGTGCAGTGACTTAATATCTAACATATTCAAAGATTTGAGTAAAGGTACCGAGTGCTGTCTGGGGCCAGAGTTAGATATTGTTCTAATAGCAGCTTTGTGGTGAATAATTAGAGGATGTAAATGATTTTGTGTAGTAGAACCCCAATCACAATTACCATAATTGGGATAAGGATAGATGAGAGAGTAATAGAGCGTCACCTGGGCAGAGCGAGGTATATAATATCTGATCTTAGAAAGAATGCCAACAGTTTTAGAAACTTTTATATATATATTTAGAATGTGTCCCTGGAAATTCATGTTCGATGAGAACACCAAGGAATTTGCCATCTACTTTCTTACTAATTTGGGTATTGTTTATGATTAGATTAATTTGATTTGAGGATTTATTGCCAAACAAAATATAGAGTTTTGTCAATGTTATGCGTGAGTTTGTTGGCAGTTAGCCAAAGATGGACTTTATTTAGTTCAGTATTTACCGTGTCATTTAGAGCAAGAGAGTCAGGACGAGAAAAGGAAGGTTGTATCGTCAGCAAATAGAATTGGTTTGAGGTGTTGAGAGGCATTTGGAAGGTTATTAATGTAGATGAGAAAGAGAGGGCCAAGTATGCTGCCCTGAGGAACACCAATGTTGATGAGTAGGGTGGGAAAATTTGAATTATTCACAGAAACATACTGGAGCCTGTCAGTAAGGTAAGACTGAAGATATTGGAGGGAGTGACCTAGCTCTGACTCCATAATGATGTAATTTAAGAAGAAGGTTTTAGTGGATGACAGTGTCAAAAGCCTTACGTAGGTCAACAAATATCCCAACAGGGAACTCATTTTTGTCAAGAGCTGCACGTATCAAGTTAATCATACTAATACGTGCATCGTTAGTGCTTTTTTTTTTGGTTCTGAAGTCATATTGGCAAGAGCTAAGTATGTTGTGTTTGGCTAGATAAGAGTAAAGCTGCTTGTACATTAGTTTTTTAAATATTTTTGACAAGTGAACTCAGGAGCGTGCCAATGTTCTTGCTGAATGTCTTAAATTTACCCTCTCAACACCCTTTCTTCATGCCCAAGAACTCGCCCCAGACAAGAAACTGACCGTGCCATACCGCTACCCATGCTCGGCGTCGACAACATGTAAACCTTAAGCGAGCTACAATTAGCCTTAACTCTCTTACCTCTTGGCAAGGCACCTGGAGCGGATAGAATTCCATATGAACTTATAAAATATCTTCCATCGACTACACATAGTACTCTTCTAAACTATTACAATCTATGCTGGACGGAAATATTCCTTTACAATAGCAGACCATTATTTTTCTTCCTTTCCTTAATCCAGGAAAAGATCCATCCCAACCTGCGTCATACAGACCTAGCTCCTTACTATCATGCCTCAGTAAAGTCATGGAAAGGCTAGTACATGCCTCCAATAGTACCTAGAGTATAATAATAATATACCGTCATTCCAAGCTGAATTTCGACCACAATGTTCCACACTTGATCAAATGCTCGGCCTTGAACATGAAATCTGCACCTCTCTCGGAAGCAGTAAATTTTGTATTATTCTCTACCTAGACCTCAAGGAACTTTTGCTAGCATTCCTCATACTTAAATAAATAATAAATAAATAAATGTTTATTCAGGTAAGGTATATAAATACAAGAGATTTTACAAAAATTGATAGATTTATAGATAGAGCTAGTACAATGTCTAAAGCCACTATTACGCAAAGCGTTTCGGGCAGGAAAAACATTAAAGACTAAAACTTAATACTAATTGAGTTTAAAGTATAAAATGTGTTGAGAACAAATAAGAATAAAAAAAGGGGGGAACATGGCTGAAAAAGCAGCACAAATACAATTAGGTCGACAAACAGCGTTGTTTAAAAAAACAGACATGGGTTGACAATATAGGGGTAAGGTAGGTTACAGGGAATTTATTAGGTAGTGCTTCGTTTTTATCTTAAACTGGTTGAGAGAGGTACTTGCTTCATGGCAAAGCTTGTACGTTTGGGCGGACAAGGAAGATTACTTTTATGGTTACAGTCCTATGTTGACCAGATGCACACACTAGAGAGTGAAAGGACGACGAAATTTCGGTCCGTCCTGGACCATTCTCATCGACTTGAGAATGGTCATAAAACATTAATAATTGTGTAACTAGCGTCAAAAGATTGTTATTTGCTTAGCTAAACGAACTAGAGGGTTCAGTTCCTGAACCGATTATGTTCCTCTAACCCTTTACACCACCGCCTACGCAATGGATATGGGGTGCATAATAAAGAAATTGAAATATCAAGAAGAAGAAATGAATTCGGGGTTTAGTTCTAGAGCACATATGTGTCTAACCTTTTTCACTACTACCCACACAATAGGTATGGGGGACATTGATACAAGTCTAAATAATATATATATACACAGGCTTCCTGTCCCTAACAACGGAAATCAGTTATTAAAAATCAAATAGGGTTTCTTTATGTTCTGTAGTTACCCTGTAAATTTTCACTTGCATTTTCTTTCATCGTTACTTCATCTACGTCAACTGAATTTTCAGTTTTAAATTACCTTTTTTGCCATTTAATGAATAACATAATGCAATCCAGTATTATTTCGTAAAAAATACAAGTAAAATATTTAGACATATGCGTTGGCTATGCATCGGCTGAGTCATTATACAAAAATAGACATCCCTAGTCGAACCTTTGTGTCTCTAAACGTTCACAAATATTCGTTCTTGTACGGATATATAGGCCTATATTATTGAAACAGTTGTGCCTAAAATCAGTCACATAAATCTGCAAACAAGAAAAGTAGAGAACATTGTTAAAGAACCAAATACTTGGTAACTAATGGGGAAACGTATAAAGGAGGCTGACTGAGCTAAAACCTAAGAGAAAATCTCGTTCTTATCGAGAAAAGTCTTATGGTTCAGAGGGGCAGGAGCACGTGTGCCTTGTAATAGAAGCAACTCGCCACCCCTGAGTATTGGCTCAGTCTGTGCTGAGGTATCAAGGGGTTGAAATTGTTCTTCTATTCACTGGTTGTCTTGTAATTTCAAACTGCCATGCACAGGTTAGTTAACGGCCTTGTTGATTTTTTCAGGGAAAGTCCTCAACATCATCTTTCTAGCTGAATGTTTATTGGGTATTTATTTATTTATATATGTACAAGAAGGTACATTGGGTTTATGTGAGTACATAGCATTTTTTTTTTACATTCTTGTAACGCCACTAAAACGCATAGCATTTGGCAGGTCCATAGCGTTTTCGGCAGGTCCACTAGTCGACTACCATGCCTTGCACCTTATTTGTCTCCCTAGCAATAGGCTGAAAGCTTTAGGAAAAATCCAAACTGAAGCCATGAGGATAATTCTTGGAGATAATGAGATCCAACATCACCCTTACTACTTAGAGAAAAACTGACTAGTGCTGTATGTAGGGGGAAGAGTGTTGCCAGTGCACCAGCGGGCAACCTATATGCAAGCTGGATGAGTAGAAATGTTACCAATCTCATTAAACTAAATATTCCTATTGTATGCAAAGTGCTAGCCAATGATATTCCATTATATCTGTACCCTGAAATACAAGTATCTTACACGCCCATCAGCAAAAAGAGCAAAGAAAACCTAGCACTCCTAAAAGCAACAACACTTGAAACAATTGATTCCTGTATAAATAACTTACGGCCTCGTGAGCACTTACGTTGATGGGTCTGTATAAATGTCAACAGGTCGCACTGCAGCTGCCTGTAGAATATACAAAGACAACATATGTACACAGACCACTAGTGTGAGACTCAATAACTGTCATAGCTCAACACATGCAGAATTAGTTGTACTGCAACTTGCTACTAACACTGAAAAACAATGGAGGAGTAATTTTCTGTGATTCAAAGTCAGCTCTTCAGGCCCTTAAAAACCCAACATGCAAAATAGAAAGTAGGAATGCTATACCATAAATTATAAACAACATTATTAATGCAAAGAGCAAAAGTTTCAGAGTCTGATTTGTATGGATACCATCTCACATAGGTGTTGTCCAGCATGATGACACAGACAAGGCAGCTAAAAGAAGTTGAGTTGGATATGGGCATTCCAATTTCTGCTGTAAAAGCCGCAATATTTCAGGAAATTGGGGAAGATAGAAGACGAGTCACTGACACAAAAAGGCCAGAAAGCACAAGTATAAAGAGCTATGACATGCTTAGAACGGAGAATTATATGTACGGCCAGCATAAAACATCCACTAGACAGTGTGACATTGTAATCGCCAGAATTAGGCTGGGATATCGATATCTATGGCAGGTGGCTGCAGGTAATGAATCCCCCAATGGTGAACATTCCAATTGTAAACTATGTGAACAAGAGATGAGACATACTCTCCAACACTATATCTGTGATTGTCCTGTTTTAAGTAACTTCAGACCTAATGGTATGAGATACATTGAGCTCTGTAATTACTTCATACACTCAGGAATATTGGAAGATATTCTTGTGCTGTACCCAGATTTTGCTAGTGGAGGGTAATAGATCAGCCTTACATTTTATGTTCTCACCTGAATTTTAGTCATAGTTGATTTGCTTTTGTATTGAGGCTGGTATTTTCTCCCCTGATTCCATGTATGATTAACAATCCTATAAGATGGGAATATTTGATGAACTTACAGCCATCTGTAGCTGGCTGTCAGAGCTGGGTTGTTTTTGTATTAAGGCAGGTATTATCTCCCCTAATTCCATGTATGACTAACCATCCTGTGAGATGGGAATAATAGTTGAACTTATAGCTGGTTCTTGATCTACACTGTATGTCTCATAGAATAGGGCAGCAGCACATTGCTGCTGCCATATATACTTATAAATACTTAAATTTATATACCTATAAAATACTTAAATTTTATAATAAAAAAAACAAAATCTGGGTACAGCATATCTTCCAAAATCCCCGAGTAGGTATATAAACGATTCTTCGCGGCAGGGGATCGTATTCCAGGGACCTGCCCGAAACGCTACGCATACTAGTGGCTGTGCATGAATGTAACAACTCTTGTATATATCTCAAAAAAAAAAAAAAAAAAACACGCTCGTATGCGAATGGAACGTTGTGTCAAAATTTCAAAGAAATCAGTGAAGAACCTTTCGGAGATTAGCGATTTTGAACAAACAAACATTTACATTTTTATTTATATAGATTAACCCTAGAACCCCCTAAGTACAACAAATACTTTACCACCTCGATCTTAAGTTACCCCTCTCACTCCACATAGGCAGGAGACGAGAGTTACATACAGCACATTAGTGGTAAAATCTACGTTTCCTTAAGGGGCAAAATACTTCACAGAACTTAATATCTCTAACACGTGTTCACTAGTCAGCCCCCAAAGATCTAAACAGTAGGTACTCAAAATAATTGAATAGAGAACACAGACACAATACACTTAGAACGACTACTGGCGCGGAACAATAATGTATTTACTTAAGTTGTTTTAGTAAAGAATAGAGAGAGAAGGGAAAGAGGTAAACAAAGAGAAGGAAGTGTCCACAACCACACCAGTCTGCAAGTGCAGCCAAAGTAAGCTCCTCCACATGGCTTGCTGCCTGCTTGATAAGCTGATCATACAGTAAATGTACTTGAATCTCTAACACAATATTAAATTGCCACTATGAAGCTCTAAGTATAAATAGGACATCCTAGCGTTACGATACACAAACAGATTATTATCACAGTGTACTTACAACTTTGTGAGCATCAAAGTGCTCATATGCTCATACGTCTGGCAGGGAAGCGATCGTCCACCATTTGCAAATTGAGGTTTAGTCCTCTTGTATATAATTTGCTATAAAGTTCACTTCTTTAACCCAAACCTATCTAAAAAAACTGATTTAAATAACACTAATTCCACACATAAACACATTCAGGACCTATTACTAGAATATCTAAGAGAGTAAAAGGGTCCCTATTACATATGTAAACAGATGTAATACGACTTTGGATCCCTTTAATCTTGGGTCCAGGTCGTAACATAAGTTCACGCAGTTTATTGTATTTGTATACAAAAATATATTTAATGATATTTTCAAGGAGTTTTGAAATTATTGGACTGCTGATGATAGCCGAGCTTAAATCCTTCAAAATATCATTCCATACATCATCAATTGTGGGTTAGTATAGGATTGTCAATGGAATTGCACTGGTTGTTATTTGCGACTCCTTGGGAAATTAATTTGCTCTTTCCATTTACTACCTCGGTCATTTGCATTATCTTAGTCAAGCTTATACAATCCATCAAATATCTACAGCTTAACTGGGTCATTTATTTCATTACTTACTCTACATCAACAGTTACAGTTTATTGTTGATGAAATAGTGCTTCTCCATCGAGCAGTTCTACATAGTCTCCCGGGTTTGGCACCTGATAATTAAGTCCTTACTTTTCAACTGAGTATCCTGTGCGTTACAGGCCGGGGGATGGAGCGAGCGAAGAGGAGGTGGACCTGTACTTGAGAAAGCTGTGTTCAGATGTGACTCTGTACAGTCCCCAGGAAGGCTTTTTCAACCACTACATGGAGCAGATCGACGCTCAGGTCTCTCAAGACTTCCTCGAAAAGTTCAGCAAACTGAAAAGTAATGAAGAGCGTATCATTAAGACATGGGGAGTCAAGGTATGTTTCAGAGTCCATTTGATACACTCATTATATTCTTATGTAACTTTCATTTCAGCTTATGTAGTTTATTAAATAAAAGTTATTGTGACTCTGTATATCAGAAATTGTTAGATCAACATAAATGCAAGTAGTGACATATTTACAAGTAACTGATTTTTAACGTTTTGTGTCTGTGTGAAGCCTATCCACACGCTCAAGGTGCAGAGTTTCTACAAACAGAAGAGCCAAGAAGTGTCGGAGAACCGGCGGGCGGAGGGCAACAAGGCGTTCCAGGAAAAGAAGAACGAACAAGCCCTCTTGCTATACTCCCAGGCCGTCATGCGTGCACCTCATGACAGTGGTGAGGCCTTCATTGCTTCGGTCGGTTATGAACTGACTACGTTAACTATTGCGCCACAGGGCACCCTCCTCAATGAACCAATGAACTTTTGATTTGATAATCGTTGAACATCTTTTTACCCAGAACCAGTCTGAATAGCATTGTATGCTTTCTTATAAATCGACTAAACAAAGGAATCAAATTTTGTAGGCTTTAGTACTTTTGTTAGTGATGTGTTTTGATGTTGGGAGAGTGGTGGCGAGTATAGTGGTGGCGTGACATGTGCTTGAGATGGCAGTAACTGTGAGGTGTTTGGTGATAATATGCAGTGTTGAGGTAATGATATACGGTGTTGTGTCGGCAGGAAATAGCTTGGCACTGGCCCTGGCCAACAGATCAGCTGTCCTCTACCACATTAAGAAGTTTAGCCTCTGCCTCTCAGACATCGAGCTCGCCATGCAGGCCGGCTACCCACCCAACCTCATCTACAAGGTAAAGAAAGCATCCCACCCAGCCTCGTTAAATCACTTATCCATATGATAATCACATGGAACAGCTTATCAAGAGATATAATACAGTTTGGTACAATAAAAGCTTTGCCATCGCTACTCTTTAATCTTAACCAAATTCAACCCGCCTAACCTAACCCCTAACCTAACTTAACCTGACCAATATGAGGGATAACGTTTGATGTTTTTAGGGTTGCCACGCGTTCGTATTTTCCAGGACATGTCCTGGGTTCAAGTCAAAATTTGTGTCCAGAAATTTTTTTAAACATTCTCGAAAAGTCCGGAATTTCAGCTTCCATCACTTGAAAAAATTATCTATATACAGTACATATTTACCAAAATGCATTATATATATATATATATATATATATATATATATATATATATATATATATATATATATATATATATATATATATATATATATATATATATATATATATATATATATATATATAATTTTAAACTGAAAACTCTACACCCCATAAGTGACTCGAACCCATACTGCCAGCAGCACTATGCAACTGGTGTACAGGAGGCCTTAACCACTCGACCATCAGTGACCTTACCCTGAATGGTTGGAGCACTATACCAGTTGCACAGGGCTCCTGGCAGTATGGGTTCGAGTCACTTCTGGGGTGTGGAGTTTTCAGTTGCATATATGCCTGGGGACCATTCTGGCTTGTTCGTATTTGTGTTGCTCACGTGGCCCTACAAAATGAGGTGATTTGATAAAATAACTATGCCCAAGATTACCATCAAAGTGCCATCGAGATGATGAGTAAATAGCCTTGGCTACCATCATCTTTTGTATGGTCACTGATGGTTGAGTGGTTAAAGTCTCCTGTACACCAGTGGCATAGTGCTCCTTGACCTTGAAGAAGACGATATGCAGCATCCGGGGGAGCCGGATTTTTTGAAATCCAGTTTTATCAGGGCTTTTTATTCTGTAATGTTGGCAATGTAGGTTCTAGCTGTATGAGCCGCTGCCTCTTACCCTTGGGGAATGTCAAACCCAAACTGTTTTGGCTTCAGCATGTATGCTGCTGCCTGGCTAACTGTTCTAGCAGCAGCCTTAGCGACGAGGCGCCAGAGTGAATTGCCCACAGCTATTGGTCTGATTCCACCATCCTTTTTCCTCCGGGCACAGAGAGTAGCATAAAAAAAAGAGGCCGTATGGTCTCTGGTATGTTGCCAGCTAGACATGTGTTGGAGAATCAGTTAGTTCCACCAGGAGGCCCTGTGCAATGTCTCCTTGTTCAGGACTTAGCATTTGTTTGATGTGGTTGGGTCTTAGGCCTGTGAACCCGCCTACCGATCCTGGTGTGAAGGATAAAGTTGCTTTATGCACCATGGATTCGTCCACACACAAGGGGTTCTACTCCAGTGACACCGACTGAGGGAACACTGTTGTCACGTGGAGCTCTGAGTGGGTGTTTGTCTCTCAGGGCTTGTGCTGTATTGGCATCTCTGGTGTCAATTGTGTCTTCACTGGTGATGACTCTGGTTGCCCCCTACAGTGTTGCCTTCTTCTGTTTTCTTGCTGACTGCTTGAGCTATTTACATTTACAAAACCCTGTTCTTAAATGCAAACCCAGTTCTGAAACTCTTCCTGGATAGATGTAATAGAACCCATAATCGTCACACCTGAAATAAATGTATCTTTGATATCCCCGGAGTCAAACTTAATCTGTGTCAACACTCTATGCAAATAAAAGAACCTAGTCTATGGAACTCATTCCCTAATGAATTGAAAAGCTGTCCAACTTTTGCCTTATTCAAAAATAAAACCAATATGTACCTAATTTCATCCTTATAATTTCCTACCTAGTGCTTTAAACTCGCACTGTATCTAGTACTACCCAATCCCCCAATATATGTATCTAAGCCACACAACTTTATTATTGTAATCATTGCTATCACCATATATCATGGTTGTTATATTGAACGCATATTATACTGCATTATACCTTTAAATAATCCTCAAGTAAGTAAGTAATTATCAAAAGAAGGCACCAAACCGGGAAGGCTATGTAGCACCATCAAATACGCAAAATAATCAGAGGGCGCTAAATATCACCAAGGATGCCAATACGAGAACAAAAACGCATAAGGCGAACGATATCAAAAGTATCCGAGTCACCAAGAATTCTATCGAGGGACAGGTGACCGCGAGGGGCGGTCGGAAAGCAAGACACACGCTCGTCCTGGAAGTCAGGACATTCAAGAAGGACATGCACGACCGTAAGAGGGACAATGCAACTAGGACAATAAGGAGCAGGGCGGCGCTCCATCAAGTGACCATGGGTTAAGCGAGTATGGCCAATACGCAACCTCGCCAGAGCTGTTTCCCACCGCCGGTTACGGTGGAAGGAGGACGGCCACGAGGAAACACAACATTTAAGAGTACGTAGCTTGTTACCAGTAACAGACAACCAAGAAGCCTGCCAACGGGTAAGGACTGAGGAATGGATAACCGGATAAAAGTCGGAATACGGAATGCCTTTACGAGAGATGGGACAAGAGCGGACAGCTGCCTTAGCGGCAGCATCCGCACGCTCATTTAAAGACACACCAATATGGCTGGGAACCCAACAAAACTCAACCGACTTAAATTTACTGTGAACGAGAAACAGCCAATGCTGGATCTCGACAACTACTGGATGAACCGGATTAAAGGACCCGAGAGCCATGAGGGCACTACGAGAGTCAACAACAACCACAAAGGAAGACTGACAACGAGAAAGCAGGAGACGAAGAGCATAGAGAATAGCATAAAGTTCCGCTGTAAAGATGCTAGTCTCCGGAGGCAAGTGACACATATAAGTGCGATCAGGAAAAACAACAGAGTAGCCAACACCGTCCGCTGACTTAGACCCATCGGTGAAGACAGAAACGGAGCGGGAGTGAGAAGAAAAGTGCTCGAGGAAAAGGCGTTTTAGAACCGTAGGAGGGGTAAAAGCTTTAGTGACACGGGTCAAGGAAGTACAAAACCGCGGAAGAGGGACCCTCCACGGGGGCAAAGAAGGAACAACACGAGGAGAAACATCAGAAATACGAACGGAGAGAGAATCCTGTAGGCGAGATAACCGGACAGAAAGAGGGAGGTGGTGAAGAGGAACAGGAACCGCAGGAGGGGTAAAAGTTAAAGCACGACAGAGGCGAGAGGAAGGATGTTGCAAGGACCGCGCAAGATAGCGAAGACAGGAGAGACAGGAAGCCAGTGTCAACATACAAGCTAAGGATGGGAGTCGAACGAAAGGCACCAGAACTGAGGCGCAACCCAGTATGGTGCAAAGCATCAAGACGGCGAAGAGTAGAAGGAGAAGCAGACGAGTAAGCAGGGCAACCATAATCGAGCTTAGACAGGACGAGAGAGGAATGTAAAGCAAGGAGTGCGCGCCTATCTGCCCCCCAAGAAGTATGGGACAAGACCCGAAGGAGGGTAAGGGCCTTAGAGCACTCAACACGGAGGTAAGAGATATGGGGAGACCAAGACAAACGAGTGTCAAGGAATAACCCCAAAAGCTTCGCGGAATCTTTGTATTCAAGGGGATGACCATAAAGTGACAAAGAGGGACGAAGAACAACCCGTTTCCGCGTAAAAGTCATGGCACAAGTCTTAGAAGTAGAGAACTTGAAGCCATGACCTGTGGCCCAAGACGACACGGCATCAATCGCAAGTTGAAGCCGGCGTTGAAGGAGAGGCGAATCATCACCCTGACAATAAAGGGTAAGATCATCGACATAGAGAGCGGAGAAGACACCAGAAGGAAGAGAGGAAAGAAGACCATTGAGGGCAACCAGAAAAAGAGTAGTGCTCAGAACACTACCCTGGGGCACACCTTCGTATTGCTGAAAAGAGGGAGAGAGAGCGGTACCAAGGCGCACCCGAAAGGAACGACGAGAGAGGAAGCTGCGGAGAAAGAGAGGGAGATGACCACGAAGGCCAAAAGAATGAAGTTGAGATAGGATATGATAACGCCAAGTGGTGTCGTAAGCCTTTTCTAGGTCAAAAAAGACGGCAACAACGGAGGTCTTCGCAGCAGAAGCAGTACGAATATAGACCTCCAAGTTCACCAGGACATCTGTCGTGCTGCGGCACTTGCGGAAACCAAATTGAGAAGGGGAGAGGAGGTGATGGTGTTCCAGGAACCACATCAGACGAACGTTAACCATACGTTCAAAGAGTTTGCAGACACAACTTGTGAGAGCAATAGGGCGAAAGTCCTTAGGGGAAGTACCCAGAGACCCCGGTTTGCGAACAGGGAAGACAACGGCTTCGAGCCAGTCCTCAGGGACTGACGACGACTCCCAGATCCGATTATACAGACTGTCACGTGGGGGTGGGCGGTCCGGGGCTCTGCTAACACTCGGCTACTAGGGTCTCAAAGGCCCAAATACTCAGCCCCTCCAACTCCCTGGATTCACCGGAGTCTCCTTGGTCACACAAGAGAGGACCAACAATGCCCACCTCCGCAGGTCTTTGCTTCCACCACAAAGGGGTGCCACTGATTCACCCTGGAAGCCCTTCAGTCAAACACGGGGAAACTGCTGTTAACAGTTCCGGCCTAGACCCGTGGGGGAGTGAAGGAAGACTCAGGCTTACCTATAACCATAACCTCCCTGAGTCTTGCCTGCCAGACAAAAAAAGGTTGTGGGAACTCCTTTCCCGCCTGTCTTCTCTATCTTCCTCTTAGCAAGGTCGCCAGCTGGGTTATTATATCTGCACCCCAGCGATGCAGTTCAGTGGGTGTATTATATATTGTTGGTAGCCAGAAATGTATGCTCATAGAGAAACATCATAAATGGAGGCGCACTCAAACACAGTAATAAAATGTGTGGATTTACTGACGCAAATTACATGAACACACACACACAATCACAAGTAATACATGAATATGGAATATGGATAATGAGTCTGGAGATCGTCAGCCTCTTCTTCCACGACCTCCAACACTCCTTCAACTGGGCAGAAGGACAGGAGTTTCACACTCTCACAGGAGGGCCTCTTCACCACGTCGGCGCCTCTTCTTCACTGTCCTGTCATCCATACACACTGCCCTCTCTGACAGTCCTGGACACAAGCTGCCTTGCAGCCTATTCTACTATTAAAGTAATAAAGTCTTGCTGCCACATACACAAGCAAATATTGTGGCCTAACTAGCCTACTCATACAAGGGGTAATGGGAGGGAAAATGATCTACCTTACATTCCTGGCTCACGACGCCTGTCCCTCGATGGTGTGAGGTTCCCACGCTTCCTTGGGTCGATCCTTGACGATCCAGGACGTTCCACAGGTCCTCAGGTGTCGTGAAGCCTTCGCGTCGTCGCCGTTCCAATCCCTGAGATTCAGCTGCCCCAATCCTGGTTCATCGATGGGCGCTGAGCTAATCACTATTTTTCCCCCACACTCGCCTCCCCCACAAGGCGTTGCTCCTTGTTCTAGGCACGGTGTCGTCCTTCCAAGATTCTCAGTGGATGTGACCCCAGTCACAGCTGGGCCTGCTCGCCCACCTTCCAGACCTCAACGTCCAGCCAGCGGCGCCGCCCAGCGTCGTCGCCGACTATTTTCCAAGTTTGGCACTTCTCTGCTCACTGAACTTGGTTCCTCTTTTGCTTCCCAGAAGCGCAGGGTCTCCAATAACTATGATGGGCTGCGACGGCCAGCTCAATCCACTGAACAAGGCTTGCAGAGCCTCCAATCCCTGAGAGCAGACCGAGGCGCGTCCTGTCGCTTCCACGGTCAGAACAACTCTGACGTTGGCGCCGCCCGGGGCACTCGGTGACGTCATGGCGGGCCCTGATTTGTCGCCCGCGACCTACGTCGACCAATCCGCGATCGACTAATGTCCCTTCCAAAAGGTCACATCTGCCGTAGGGGATACTGTTTCATTTTATAACAGGGCGCCAATTTTCCTTTATTTACAACTTATAATATAACTTCCTTCCCTTAACTGGCAGCCGGTCTGGTCGCCACATATATCATTAGACTCCCTGAACCTCAGAGAATCAGTAGGGAGAGCTGATATGACTCTTTAAGCCGGCAAACGAAAGAAATAGGAGAGGGCACCGTAACAAGACTCAGTAAATACTGAGACGTGCTCGGAGGGAGATGGCGAAGCATCTCATAATGAATACCATCCGAGCCCGCCGCCGTAGAACCGCAGAGGGCCAGGGCAGAACGAAGTTCAGAGAGAGAGAAGGGATTATTATAGGGAAGCTGAAGATGAGTGCAGAAATCTAAAGGACGAGACTCAAGGACAGGTTTACGAAGAAGGAAAGATTGGGGAAGATGAAGACCAGAGCTAACAGAAGAAAAGTGGGAACCCAGTTCGGAAGCGACCTGCATCGGGTCCGCCACAAGAGTATCATGGAGGTGAAGGACCGGTGAAACATCGGGAACGAACTTACCCGCTATCATGCGGATACGCTTCCAGATCTGGGCCAGAGGGGTCTCGGACGTAATTGTTGAGACATAAGATGCCCAACATTCACGTTTAGCCGTACGAATGGTCCTACGGGCCACCGCACTCGCTTTCCGAAAGAAAAGAAAAGAATCGGTCGTCTGCCTACGGCGGTGCCTCTTCCAGGCTGCACGCTTACAGCGGACAGCCCGAGCACAGTCCGCATTCCACCAGGGAACGCACTTCCGTGGACCCCGAGAGGAAGAGCGAGGAATAGAGCGGAGGGCAGCGTTGAAGACAGTGTCACGAAAAAGGAGGAGAGCGCGAGAGAGAGGCAGAAGGGAGAGGTCAGAGAGAGCAGCACTGAGGGTAAATAGAGTCCAGTCTGCCTTAGCAAACTGCCACCTAGGGAAAGAGAGGGAAGGGCGAAAAGAGAAAAAGGAAACAAGGATGGGGAAATGATCACTTCCATGGAGGTCATCAAGAACCTGCCACGTGAAATCTAAGTAAAGAGAAGAAGAGCAGAGAGAAAGATCAAGACAAGAAAGGGTGCGAGTCCGAGAGTCCAAATGAGTGGGCTCACCAGAATTCAGAAGAGACAGGGAAGAAGAGAGGAGAAACGGCTCAAGGAGGCGACCCCGGGTATTCGTCAGAACGTCACCCCAAAGAGAATGACGACAATTGAAGTCACCCAGCAGGAGCACAGGCTCCGGCAAGGAGTCTATGAGGTGTTTCAAATCAGGAAGAGAGAGCGGGACACTCGGGGGGAGATAAATGGAACAAACTGTGTACCATTTCCCCACAAAGATACGAGCAGCAGAACAATGGAGAGGCAAAGGAAAAAGTAAAGGAACAAAGGGAACATCAGCCCGAATCAAGAGAGCAGAAGAATTAGAAGCCCCAGCAATGGCTGGGGGGGGGGGGAGAGAAAGGAATAGCCACGAAAACGACCAGGACGAGCACCAAGCATTGGCTCCTGGAGACAGACACAAAGGGGCGAAAACCGCGAAATCAGAAGTTGGAGTTCGAGGAAATTGGCGTAATAACCTCGAACGTTCCATTGAAGAATGGACAACGACGAGAAGAGAAAGGACAAAAACAGAGAACAAGGAAGAAACAAAGGCGAAAGAGCAACAGAGCACGTTAAAGAATATCAGGGTCGGGATCAGGGTCAGCAAAGTCAGGGTTAGGGGGCATGGGTAAACTGAGCAAAGACGGAGGGAAGGAAACGGGAGAACAGATCAGAGGTGGGCGGGCAGGGTCCGGAGGAGGAAGAGGAGGAGACAACGGAGAGGAGCAGTCAAGGACAGCAGCAGGAGGAGGGGGAGTAGAAAGAGGGGAGCGCACCCCAGCAAGAGCAGCAACCGAAAGGGAAGCAGGGGCCAAAGAAACCTCCATAGCAGGAACAGGGGGCGCAAGCACTGAAACGGGAGGGGAAGAAGCAACAGAGCCAGGAGGAGGAGCTGAGGAAGAAAGCGAAGCCTTCTTACCCGCCGGGGAAGAGGAAGGAGAGGAGCCAGGCTTACGCTTCTGACTTAAAGAGACCGGTGTCCCAGCAACTACGTACCGGGCAACGGATTCCAGTGTCTCAACAGGAGAAGCCGAACGAGAGCACACACGACGGCCGTTAGGAGAGCGATGGACATCCGCCCGCACCGACAGGCGGTGGGGAGAGCCGATAGATGAAGGAAGAGGATAGGAAGGAGGATCGGAGGGGGACGAGGAAGAAGACACAGAAGACACGACAGACCGGGTAGAAGGAAGGGGAACCCCAGACAGAGGACCAGGAGGAGGATCCTTCGGGAGAGAACCCAAAGGAACAGAGGAGGGGGCAGTGGGCGCATCAGGGTCCAAGGCCCGGAAACGGTTGTGAGTCTGAGGAAGGCGGGAAGGACGAGGAGAGGAAGAGCGCAACACGCGAGCATAAGAGATAGTAGCATAAGGCGGGAGCCGGGGAGCCGGCGAACCTGGCGCCTCGCCTCAGGAAAAGATAAACGCTCCCGGTGCCTCAGGTTGAGGACGGCTGCCTCAAGCTTGTAATGGACACACGCACGGGAGAAGGTAGGATGGGCCTCACCGCAGTTGAGGCAACGAGCCTGGGGAGAAGTGCACTCCGACTTAGAGTGACCTTCGCCACCACACAAAGGACAGAGAGAGACAGTCCCGGAGCAGCGGAGGGCACCATGCCCAAACCTCCAGCACTTGTTGCAGAGCCGAGGAGAAGGAATGTACTCCTGGACAGAGCACCTGGCACCAGCAAGAATGACAGAGGGTGGAAGGGTCCTACCATCAAAGGTAATCTTCACAACCCGGAGGGGTTGACGGCGACTACCACGAGGGGGACGAGTAAACATGTCCACCTGGAGAATAGAATGGCCCTGGGCAGCGAGGATATGTCGAATATCGTCGTGGCAGTCGCGCAGGTCCCGAACACCGGTCGCAACATGGGGCGGGAGCAAAATAGTGCCAACACTGGCATTCAACTGAGCGTTCTTCGAGACCCGAACGGGGGTCTCACCAAGGCAGGATAAGGCAGCCAAGCGGGAAGCAGCATCCTGAGAAGGAGCAGCAACGACACGTGTACCGAGACGAGTGGGGTTGAAAGTAATGGAGGCATCCACGGAATCAATGAGATGTCGATGGAGGGAGAAATCGTCAAGAGGCGCAGAATCAAGAGGGAGGAGATCAAAATATTTGGCCCACGAAGCGGGACCAAACAAGGCTTGATAGGTAGCAGAACTGGAAGGAATCGAGCGAGGGCGGCCGTGACGAGGACGGCGGTGAGAACCCCCAGAGAGAGAGGGGTTAAAAGGCGCAGTAGTTACAACTAGAGAAGGAGCCGCGCCAGGGGACGAGGTAGTCACCACTGGGGGCTAAATAATCCTCAAATTATGCTACACTGCACCTGTTGATAACCCTCAAATTTTACTTTAAATGTACCTAATAATATTTGTCAAATTTTCTTACAATGTACCTGTTAAACATTGTTTCAATTTTGCTAGAAATTACCTACTTAAAATTATTTGTTAGATTAAGGACCTGACCGAAACGCTATGCGTGGTAGTGACTTTGCAAGAATGTAAAAACGTCAATGCTAGGTACTCTCATAAACCCAATGTACCTTCTTGGGACATTGGTTCATTGGCCTTCTTGGTACATTTATATAAATAAATAAATACTTCCTGGGAAAGATAAGGAAACTATCAGGAGAAGCGCCAAACCATTACGACTATATAACACTGGGAGGGGATATGGGGGTAAAGATTTGGTATGGGTCGGAGGGAAGGAATGGTGCCCAACCACTTGGACGGTCGGGGATTGATCGCTGACCCGCATAAAGCGAGAGGCTGTCGCACTTACCGTCTGGCTTCCTTCTACTCTTCGTCTTTGCAACATACCTGTTACGCCTCAGCTCTGGTGCCTGTCGTTCGTCTTCTATCCTATGTAGAAATCGGCGTCCGGTCTACACTGTTTTATATAAGTGGCATGGACAAGGTGTGTGACGTCACTATGACGTTATAATTTTTATTCCGGCTGAGGTTCTGGATTCTACTGGTTGCAGGTGCTGGACCGCCGAGGTCAGTGCCACCTGGTGTTGGGTCAGTACACCAGTGCCCTTGATGCCTTCACCGCCGCCGCCCGTGCCCTCTCTAACTCTGGCCTCGACAACAACAAAATGGAGTCCTGGAAGAAAGACCTCAACATGAAAATTCATTCCTGTCAAGGAAAAACGGATGCAGGTTGTTCCAAGGGGTTACTACTGTATATCATTTACTGCATGTTTATATACAACCTTTGAATAATACAAGATCAAACATTGACAATGCGCAATTAATTATGATCGTTGCATGATGAAGTGATTATTATTCTTTGGGCTCATTGTTTTCTAGATGATCCAGCAGCTGACGTGACTAGCAGCATCGATCTCTTCATGGGGGCAAATCCAGTCCTTCCCAACGCCTCCTCGACCATCACTCTCAACTCTTCCAGAGAACAAGGTTAGTAAACATTTGTTTGTGAATAAAAATCTAAAGATAATCCAGCTTAGCAAATTTCTCGTTCGGTCCTCCCCTTGACTTGCATTTCTTTCCTTCCCCCCTATTAACATGCATTTCGCGTCCTTCCATGACTTGCATTTCGGTCCCCTTCTTGACTTGCATTTCAGTTCCACCTTGACTGTTTCATTCAGTTATCGCACCTATAAAATCTCAGCACAGTGTCAAGACTCACCTCAGAGATAAGTCCTCATACCATGAACTAAGTTCACATGCCGTGAACTAAGTCAACTCGTATGCCATGAATTAAGTCAACTCACCGTATGAGCTGTGGACTGGTAATAGGCAAGAAAACTGTTGGAAGATCATATTTGCCGTTGCATTTTTATATTTAAACAAATAGACTGGTAATCCGAATGACAGGGTTGTGTTGTGGTATTTTGGTTGTTTATTAATGGGTATATAAGAATGTAAGACTGAGGACTGTGGGGTAAATGCTGGTTTGGGAATATGGTTGTAGATTAGTGGAACAAATTATTGTGTAGCATGCAAGACGTAAATCGCTGCCTTGTTTTAATCGTCGATTAGACAAATAGTGGAGTGTTTGTGATCAGAGATAAATAGGAACTGTCCCGCATGGTCCAATAGGTCTTCGGCAGTTTCCTTTGTTCTTATGTCCGTAAAGGAATTCTAGAACAATGTTAATACACAGGTCGGTACTTGGTAGCGGCGAGACACATACCTGCTGGCCAGGTACTGTTGGCTGAGCGACCGTACTCCGCCGTCCTCATGGCTAACAAGTGCGGTACTCACTGCACTCACTGCTACCACAGGTACGTCACTCACTGCTACCACAGGTACGTCACTCACTGCTACCACAGGTACGTCACTCACTGCTACCACAGGTACGTCACTCACTGCTACCACAGGTACGTCACTATTAATCTGTGTGTATTGCGTCAAATTTTCTTACAATGTACCTGTAAACATTCTTTGTTTATTTTACTGGAAATTAGCTACTTAGATTTAGGACCTGCCCGAAACGCTATGCGTGGTAGTGGCTTTACAAGAATGTAAAATCATCATTGCTATGAACTCTCTTAACCACCAGTGTACCTTCTTATATATAAATAAGTAAATAAAAATAAATATGTTTGGTGCTGGGCTTAATGTCTATCAATCTCTGGACGGTTTTGATACTAATGCCAAGTCGATGGCTTAGTGAGCAACCAGCAAGTACACTTTAGTCCTGAACATTGTCCACGACTATAATAAACTCTGAGTGTATATGAACCGAGAAGCGGGGTGTATCTATCCTTCCATAGGTGGATAACAATTTGCGAACAAGATATGTTTATGAAGTCAAAGACCATAGGCTCGGGGGGGTAGAAATAGCCTAAGCTACTCTATCCCTTTGAGATGTATTTCTTTCTTGTCTCAATAAACATACTTGAACTTGAACAGGGTGGCTCGTGCGGCCCAAGCTCTGCTTCAGGAGGCTGGGTCATTCTTGCCTTTGCTGGGGTGGGGTTCATTCCGGTCATTCAGTCATTCTTTGCTGAGGTCATTCCGGCCCCGACCACGGCGGTCTCAGGGTTTGGAGTCCCTGTGCCTTCTTTCACAACCTCGAGGTAATCTCCGGAGCAGGAGCACCTAGGACAGTTTGTTTCTGTCTTCACCCTCGTTCTGACAGTTCCTGCGACGGCGCTGGAACCAATCGTATTGGCGTTCGCCTTTCCATTGGAGACTTTCGGCGCCGTAGAGAAGAGGAGGGGGGGGGGGTTCCTGCTGCTTGGGTAACAGCTTCTCCCCCGTATCAACCTACCCTGGCTTTGCGCCCTGGAGAGGCCACTACTGACCGACAACCAGAGTGCAACTCCATAGTCTCCTGAGACTGATGGATGCCTACTACTATAATCGTCTGCGCCTCCATCTTCCCCAATATCTTAACATCATCCGCAAACATGTTAAAATAATTTTGTATTCCTTCTGGTAGATCGTTTATGTAGACACTGAACATTACAAATGCAAGAACTGGACCCTGTGGTACTCCGCTAGTAATACTCACTCACTCACTCTCACACACACACACACACACACACACACACACACACACACACACACACACTCACACTCACTAGTGTGTATGTAAGAGAGACTAAGATGGGAACAATGTGTGTCAGGTTGGTGGCACCGGTGCCGTGCCGCTGGTGCAGCGGTGTGGCCTTCTGTAGCCCCCGGTGCCGGGACCTGGCCTCGGCTACCTACCACCGATGGGAGTGCAAGTTCCTCGACCTGCTCCTGGGGTCCGGTGTCTCTCTCAACTGCTACCTCGCTCTCAGGGTCATCACTCAGCATGGTCTCGCCTTCTTCAAGAAGGTGAGAAACTGTCGCTCGTGTCACCCAAATGCCGTCTTCGAGCTGTATTACAATGACATAGATGTGTTATTATAAATTTAACACGAAAATATATATTGAATAAATTAATATGTTGAATATTTTTCCTTTTAATGATGTTTGGATTAAAAAAATCCAACCAATTCCAAACTTTTTTAGTATTTTTGTCGTACTGCAATCTTACATTGCCATTCATATATTGATATATATAAATGAATTACAAGATGTACTGCTATAGTATGAAATGCGTCTTGTTACTGTGTTTTGTGGTGCTGTTGCCTGGTGGAGTAGCTGGGGCAGCGTCTGCAGCAGCCCAGCACCCTCCCGTCAGGGACCTCTCCTCACCGTCCTGACGACTACCTCAGCTTCTACCATCTGGTGGCGCTAGAGGAGGAACGTTCCCCAAGTGACTTCTTCCAGCGCTCCCTGCTCGCTACCTTCCTGCTCAAGGTGCTGCAACGGGCCCACTTCTTTGGAAAATGGGATGACGAAGGTAAACCAAAGAGTTTTTGTTTCAATTTGCTTTCGTAGTATTTACATATTTACATATATTTAATGCATATTATTTATACATTTCAATTTGCATATTTATTTATTGACACCCATGTTATAAATAACATCATACCATCTACAATCATACCTGTCACATGTAACCCGGGGATGCTATCTAGTGCTAACAATCATTGTATGATGGACGATGTTCGAGAGTTGCCGCAAGTTGATCACTTACACACTAATTCCCTATACAATAGGAAACTAACTTTCTATGCTAGATCCATTGGTTCTAGTGCTTCTTGACTCCCACCACACAAAGTTTACATACAATGTGTGTGTCTGATGTCAGTGCAAAGGGGGGGGGTCTATTGCCACTAATCTCGTGCAAGTAGTAGCACGCCCTATTCAGGTAGCACGTCTCGTGCAAGTAACACCTCACATCCAAGCAGATTGAGATTCATTTTATTTATTATTCCCCCCCCCACCCTTACCCATCGAGTGGGCGGTGGTGGAAAGGGTTAAAGTGGCACATAATGGGTTGAGGAACTGCTCGTTTAGCTAAGCAAGTGACAATCTTGTAAAGCTAGTTACGTCTTACTTTACGTCAAGCAGTAGTACGTCTTACTCAAGTAGCACATCTTATTCAAATAAGAGCTTCAGTCATTTAGTGAGTCTCATTCAGGTATATGCGTCACCTAATGTTACTTAAATGAACATAACATGAGAACGTGTAATATTCCTGATGGCTGCTAAATTAGATCCCCTTCCACTAACCCGCAGGATCCCCGGACAAGGCGATGACAGACGACGAGGTGTTGGTAGGCGGCCTCCTGCTGCGACACCTTCAACTCATCCAGTTTAATGCCCACGAGGTCAGTAACTGTCTCATTTTGAAAATAATAATGTGTGCAGAACTTTGCACATCTGGGGTCAATCACGATCAAATCGGGTTAATGCTCTGAAACTAGTACTGTATTGCAGCAAACCTCTGTACTTATGAATCTTTGTTTTTGTGTTTTTTTGCATGCTTTAGCGTGGGTCAGACATGTGTGTTCAGATAGCGTCCTTATCCAGGCTTCTGACGGCTGTTGTGATGTTCGCCAGCTTAGCATTTACAGCTGATGTGAACTTTTATATCTATGAAGATAGAATTTTTAAATCTCCTCCCAGATCCTTTTCTCTCACTAACCCCGGTAAGTTACTCCATTTATTTATATATTGTTTCTTTGCCTCTTTACGCCTGTTTTCATCATGACCTTGCACTTATATGGGTTGAAGTCTAGTAGCCGTTTACCCAGGCATATCTGCAACACATATAACTCTTCCTGTCTGCTCCTGCACTCATCACTCGTCCTGGTTCTCCTCGAAAAACAAACAAAATAATGTTTATTAGTTTTGTTACTTTTGTATACTGGAAATACCCCATACATTTATATCCATCCCCCAAACATTTTCCATCCCCAAACATTTTCCATCCCCCAACATTTGCCCACCTGCTCATTTGCACCCCTACATTCTCACGCATTGGGAGGGCTTGCATTTTCATGAAAATTTCCAAATACTGTTTGTACTGTGAGACATACTGGCATAGAGGACCAAGAATACCTTTTTTCGATCGGTTGTAATCGAAAAATATCTAGTTAAAAGAAATTTGTGGTGAGGACGTGACTTACCATAGATGTGAAGTGTCTTGTATACAAGACACTGATAGGGATAGTAATAGCGTTCCTATTAATAATATATTTCAGGACACTTTTCTCCGTTTTATGAGCAGTCGTAAAGAAGTTCCTGTAAATCAGTCTAATAGGGGTACAAGTGTTGTGTTAGTTGACTCTTCAGAGGTTGTATGGCGTTTCACCTTTCTTTTTATGACGTCTACATAAAAGCATGAAATAAATTCTTCATAAAAGCATCCATGCTTATATTCGTTGCATGAAAAGCATGCAGCGAATATAAGCACGAAATGATATATGTAAACCTGTCTTTGAAAATGTGAGAAGTCCTTGCGAAAAGCTTTTGGGCGTCAGACCATAAATAAAAATTGAGAAAATGAACTTTGGAGAGTTAATTTTTCAATTACCCCTGACAGTGAAGAAAAAACGTAAGAAATATTGAGAAGATTCGTGTTAGAATCATTAATCGTACCCTTTCGGTCATATTCAACAACATAGATTTACAATTGTTTGTTGAAGAAAGACTGCTACCAAAATATACTAATATTTATTATATATATATATTATATATATATATATATATATATATATATATATATATATATATATATATATATATATATATATATATATATATATATGTATGTTCACGCGTATGTAACATTAACAATTGTGTAACTAGCTTCAAAAGATTGTCACTTGCTTAACTAAATGAACTATAGGGTTCAGTTCCTGAACCGATTATGTGTGTCTGTAACCCTTTACACCACCACCCACTAGATGGGTATAGGGTGCATAATAAAGAAATAAATTGAACTGAATTGGTGAGACGCTCATTTCCAGTCTATGGCTGCATATCTATCCGCAATCTGAAGCCTGTCCAGTCCCTCCAGTGTATGTATTGGTACAGGTAATTTACAACAAACTTCTACATACACTTCCTTATTATTCGTTGCAATCAGTGATCAACTAATTGTTAACCAACTGGAGTGTATAATTATTCACTATACGTTCAGCTTATATAGCCGTTACTAAAGCCCCAAGGAAATAAATGGCGTTAAAGATATAGAATAAATGTGTTTACTCGCAGTTAAATATTTCATATATATTGGTTTTGGGATGACTACTGACGTGCCTGGTTACTGGTCAGATAAATACGATGTGAACGGGCGCCAGCATAGTACTTACGCCAACACTCAAGTCTGACGCCATGACCCTTGTGCTTGTACAGGCTGAGCTCCACTGGCCGCATGATATGCAGTCTGTATCAGTGCCTTTCTAGATTTACTGCCTTTTATAGAACTAACATAATCTTACAATACAAACATAATAATCTGTTTGACTGGATGATAACTTTCAACTTATTATAGAGAAATTTACTTGTCAGGAGTACTTCAGTTTAAAACTCAGCTGGAAAATATCCTCAGGCTTTGACAAACCGCCGGCATTCTTACCCTGTCGAGGCCACTAGAAATAGTGGTCCTACAATCAATTTAAGTAAACCCGCCGTTCCCAGATCAGACACTAACGGAGGAAACACTGAAGGCTTCTTTGGTCATTGGCGACTGTTTACCTCTCAATGAAATTGAGTGTGATTTTCCCTATCGCATTAATGATGTCTAATTCCGCATTACCGACTATTTATAATTAAGTGTATATATATTTATATCGTATGTTTTTTCTGTATATTGTTAATGTGATTAATTTCTCAACACCTGTCTTCCTCGGACTGTCCACTCGGACAGCTAAGTGGGATGGCATTCGCTAGTGGGCAGAGGAACTTCAAGAAGACCAAGAGTGTGTTCCTGGGAATTGCTGTCTACCCGACCGTCGCCTTCTGCAACCACTCCTGCTTTCCTGCCGTCACCAGGTACTAATTCACTTTTTCCCTAATCCTTCTCCTCCTTTTTAGTATTAACAATAAAACAAATGTGATATATTTGCTAAGGTTGAAATTAATTTGATAAACAAATTATATAGTATTGAATTGTTTTCAAACCAATTAAATGTAAAATGAAATTTACAATACAGTACAGGATTACTTTTTAATTAATACGAACCATAAAATTACTGTATATTACCTGTATTATAGGTACAATTTTGTACCTTTAAGTAAATTGGTGTTAAGTTGGAGGGGCAGTTACAAATGATATACTCTTTTGACTGATATGCAAGACCGAACTGAATTAGATAACTGATAATATTTCGTAACTGAAGATACTTCGAGGGAGACAAGATGGTGATAGTGAGCATCCGTCCGCTGGAGCCTGGGGAGGTGGTGGCTGAGAACTACGGTCCCATCTTCACCCACCACCCCAGCCAGGAGCGACATCGCAAACTTCTCTCTCGCTACTGGTTCAAGTGAGTCAACACCCACCACCCCCACCAGCAGTGACATCGCCAGCTTCTCTTCACTACTGGTTCAGATCAATCTTCACCTGCCATCACCGCCACACAGACAAGCTCCAACCAAAGATTTGCAGTGGTATTGGGGAACCATGTACTGTACCACAAACACACACACAAGGGGGCGCTTCCGATTCCTTGATCGTCATCGTCCCTAAATCAACAACACCACACACACAAGGGATATATACACCTAGGGGTGTATCACATTTATTGGAGATTGCTAGAAACAATAAAAAAGAAACTGCTGTGTTGTGGTCACTGTACATCTTTTGCATTGCTCTGTTTCTAATTACTTTCTTAATCTGTGATAGACTCTGTGGTATGTAAATGTCTACATTTCTTCTCTTAGTTGCAAGTTTTGCAGCTTCGTCTGCAATGTCATTTCCTATTATTCCCACATGACTTGGCACCCAGTTGATAAGTACCCATCGGTCTTGTCGTTTGAGTGTTTGATGACTACATATTGGTGTCTGTCACTAAGATAGGAACAAATATAATCCAAAGCAAGGCCTCGGATACCATACTGGTGATCAAATCCACAAGCGCCGTGATGAGGGTTCGAACCTACGTCCGAGAGGATCCCAGATGCTGCCGCTACCATGTCGTAGCTCAGTCGATTAAGGCAACGTCTGGGATCCTTTCGGACGTAGGTTCGAACCCTCGTCACGGCCCTGGTGAATTTGTTCATTTGATGCATCACGCTATTGTGATTTCTGTGCATACTGGTAATGTTTAAGAGGTAGTTATGGTTTACAGTATCAAAGGCCTTTCTCAGGTTAATGAAGAAGTCGACTGGGAACTCATTTTTGTCAAGGGCTGTGTAGATTATATAAAGGCATGCTTTTTCACGTAATATCTTACTTGATACAACCGACGTATGTCTGTGTTCAATATTTTGCCAGGTGATGAGTTCCGTATTAATTTAAGTAGAGTTATTCAGAGAAATCATGCTCTATGGAAAATATTTGCCTGAATTTACTTGAATTTAACATCCATCTCTAGTGGTCTCGACGGGGACCTAACCCAACCCAGGTCAACCGATTCGAACCCTCCTCGAACCCAACCTAACAAAAATCAGACATAACACTGTGTTTTGCATATGGTGTGCACGATGTGGTGTGCGTCATGATGTTTGTACCGATGCAGAGTTTACATGCTACTGAATTGACACCTTTGTTCCTCCTCCTCGTAGGTGTAACTGCGTGGCATGTCAGGAGGACTGGCCTGTATACGCCAAGATGAGTAACAAAAGGATCCTTCGCTGCCAGACATGCAAGTCTCCCCTTCCTCCGCGGGCACAGACCCAGTCCCACGTCTACTGCAAGGACTGTGGTTCATCCACCGATGCTGTACAAGCTAGCAAGGCTCTCGATAAGGCTGATAAGTGTAAGTTGTGCCATATATTTTCTGGCTAGTATTATGTATATTCATGATGGAAAAAATCCTCAGAAAGAATGGAAGGACCTTCGACAAGCTGCCGGGTTCCTGTCCTCATTGAGATCACTAAACATATCAACCTGTCCTCTTAAAAATAACGTCGCTTTTGGCCGTTTGCCCGTATGTCCGAAAGTGGACGTAATTTGAAAATGAAAAAAAAAAAAAAAAAATTGGGATTTTTTTTAACAACAGTAAGTTAAGAGTTCTCTGATAAATTAGGTGGGCAGGAAATTCTCATAAAGTTTCAAATTTTTATGAAAAATGTAAATTGAAAGTTTCCTCTCCTAACCTTTCCGAGTAGATCGGACAACTCAAACAGAAAACGGGACAGTACGTCACTTTTGTGAGTCGATTTCATTTCAAATTACGTCCTCTTTTGGCCATAGCGCGCATACGAGCGAAAAGCGACGTTATTTTTAAGAGAACGGGTTAAACATAGTGTGACCTACTGGTAAATATATACGGTGAATGCGCATATGAATTCAGGCTTTGTTGACATCATTTACTGGCAATCAGCGCCACTGACCTATATATCGAATGGTGTATTGTATGTTTCTTTGCTGCTCTCAAAGTTGAATGGTAGCCAACTTTACCCAGCCCAAGAATACAAAAATAAACCAATTTACCTGAGGGCTACTATCTCTTGTAGCCTTAACAAGCCTGTGGTTTGTCAAAGGACCCCCCCCCCCCCCCCACACACACCATTTATCCTGATTTTATCAAGCTGGATTGTGAATTCCAGCAATATTATACTTTTTTCTTTTCTGGATGCAGACAATTTTTAGTGTTGACTAGTTTTCTTCCTATAGGAGTGTTGTATATGTTACTATGGTGGTATTTTATCAAACATTGTAATAACTAGCACTGTCAACCCATAACATCAATACTGTGCTAGAGTAGCCACGGCCAACTGTTAGCGTACGTAGCTGTGCAACCCACAATCTGAACACTGTACAAGAGTAACCACGAACAATTGTTACAGTGTATGTGACCGCGTGTCGATTCATGGACGAGGGCAAGCGGGAGGATGCCATCTCTGCCTTCAACCGCTACGTTGACATCGTTAGCAGCGTGGTAGTACCGCCCTTCAGGGAGCTCCACCTCTCCATGCAGTCCCTCAGGCTTCTCGTAGCTTCCCGGGGCACCATCCATACCCCAGCGATCTCTGCATTCTCTTCTACCAAACAGTAGTGGTAACCTAGAGCTGTACCACGTCCACACTCCAGCTGCCTCCTCCCCTACCACTTATAGTACCATGCAAAACATATTTTTACAAGTTCGTGAGGAACTTTTCAGGAAAATTAGCACCCTTTTCTAGATTTTACTACTGCTCAGCTTAGACTCGGTTACAAGTATCTCTGGTGTTATGGGGGCAGGTGGTTGTACTGAGAGGGCCAATAGTTAATCAAAAGGAGTTCCTAAAATAGTGGAAATAGGTAGGCCCCGGCCCCCAGGGTAATATCTTCCCAGCAATGAGTACTTGTTTGGCTAGAATAAACGTCCGCCGTCTAAGGTAATCACCTACTCCACTCTAAACAGGATGAAAAGATACACCTAGCTTTATCCTTATTTATTAAACCCTCTAATAACCCCCATATGCAAAAATACAATTCAAAACAAAAAAAATCAAATGTTTATTCAGGTAAAGTACATACATACAAGGTGTGATACAAACATTGATGGATTTATAGATAGAGCTATTACATACAATGCCTAAAGCCACCATTACGCAAAGCGTTTCGGGCAGGAAAAACACTAAAGACTAAAACTTAATACTAATTGAGATTAAAGTATAAATTGTGTTGAGAACTAAAAAAAACACTACCTTAAGTTAAACACCTTGGTCCACATAAGCAGGATGCAAGGTTTACAGTTGCATTCTAGGGGGTAAAGATTACTTTCCTGAAGGGCACTTGTAAAGGCTTGAAGCAGCCTTGGTAAACTTTAACCCATGTAGTTTTACTAGTCACCTTAGAGTACACTTAGAGATACCAAAACACTGGCTTAGAATACACAAATCACTACACTTACACTTAACCAATAGCACAGCAATAACACGGAAAGATACTTTAACTTGGACATAGGGTAAGGAGGAGGAGAACAGAGCCCACAGGAATGTGTCAACACCACAGCAGCCGCCCAGAGAAAAGGAAGAAAACAGATTGATGATTGATTGATGAAGATTAAGCTACCTAAAAGGTGGCACGGGCATGAATAGCCCGTAAGTGGTGGCCCTCTTGAGCCATTACCAGTATCAAGAGCTGATACTGGAGATCTGTGGAGGTGCGAATGCACCCTGCATGACGGGAGATGTCTCCCTTGTGAATGTGTTAAGATGAAGATGAAGCAACCCAAAAGGTGGCACGGGCATAAATAGCCCGTAAGTGGTGGCCATTTTAAGCCATTACCAGTATCAAGAGCTGATACTGGAGATCTGTGGAGGTGCAAATGCACCCTGCATGACGGGAGATGTCTCCCTTGTGAATGTGTTAAGATGAAGATGAAGCCACCCAAAAGGTGGCACAGGCATGAATAGCCCGTAAGTGGTGGCCCTTTTGAGCCATCACCAGTATCAATAGATGATACTGGAGATCTGTGGAGGTGCGACTGCACCCTGCGTGACGGGAGATGTCTCCCGGACCAAATGGTGACCAGATGGTGAAGAAAACAGCCTACGGAGCTCTCATAAGTATGCTGACGGGAAGCTGCCTAACTGATCGTGCAGCCACAATCATTACAAGTCTTCACTGACCTTCATTACTAGTTACTTTAACAATTATAAGAATAGCTAGTAACTAGGTCACTATTTAATAATCACAAGCTCAGAGTCTGAATGTTCTGTGAGAAACAAGATTCGTCTTACGTCTGGCAAGGAAGACGGAAACCAAGACGCATCAGAAGTATGAGAAGCCCTGAGTATAAATGTTATTGTTAATTAAATATCCTTCTCACATGATCCAATCCTATCAATTAATGTATAGTAATTGAACCGGAAACCATCTAGTATAAAAAGGCATCCCCCCAGAAAAGAAAATTATACACATGACAAGATGCTTAAGGGGTGGACATTAACAATGAGGAGAGCTCACAGGGATTGGAATAGGAATGGTAGGACTGAGGAAGGGAAGAATGCTTTACTGGCAGTTGCTAGGCTGTGTGGGGAGAAGAGAAAGGAAATTAGGAGCAAGTATTGGCAGGAATTTGCAGAGAAAGTTGGGAGTAACAGAAACTTGAAGGAAATCTGGCAAGACATAAATAAAATAAGGGGTAAAAAACACAATTTTGTTGCACATCCAGACCCGCAAGGAATTGCAAATGGGCTCGTAAATAAATGGGCGGAAGCTGCCAAACTTAGTTCATTACCTGCTGTAACGAGAGAGTCATTAGATTCTTGGAAAGATCTAAGAAAGGATTTTATACTTATAGCAGGTAACAGTGGTGATGTTACTTGCACAGGTATTACCAGAGAAGAACTAATAATGGCGATTAAAGTTGGGAAATCTACCGCACCTGGGGAGGATGGAGTAACTTATGAAATACTTAATGAACTTGCCACTATGACGAAAAGCCCACTTTTAGACCTCTTTAATATTAGTTATAAAGAGGGCAGTATTCCCAGTAAATGGAAAAAAGCTATGATCATCCCTATCCCTAAAGCCAATGGAGAATATAGACCTGTGTCTTTAACCTCGTGTTTTTGTAAAATGATGGAGAGGATCATTTTAAATAGACTTTTATATATAATAGGTGATCAGCTGTCTAGTAATTTGTTCGGGTTTCTCAAAGGAAAAAGTACCTCTGATTGTATTATTAAATGTCTAGCTAATGAAAATGATTATTATAGACTTTTCATTGATTTACAAGGAGCTTTTGATAAAGCCAACAAAGAGGTTATTTTATATGAATTAGCTAGTCTTGGTGTTAAAGGGAAATTATTGCGCTGGATAGGGGATTATCTTTACGAAAGGAAGGCTCAGGTGTGGTATCAAGGTTGTATGTCAGGTGTGAGGTCTTTTGAACTCGGCACACCTCAGGGAGGAGTGTTGAGTCCCACCCTGTTTAATGTACTAATGAATAAGATAGCATCTGAGAGATACTCAAATGGGGTAACTCCGATCATATATGCCGATGATATTTTGTTTCAGGGCAAAGATATTTCAAAGGTTCAAACAGTGTTGGACAATTTCGGAAACCTGTGTCACCATATGGGATTGGTGGTTAATGAAAACAAAACTAAGTTTGAATGTAGAAGTCGGAGCCCCATTGTTTTGAAGATAAACGATAAAAATATAGAGAGAGTTAATATATATAAATATTTAGGCATATATGTTGGATATACCCATGAGAGTTTGGAAGCTGAGATGAACAGACTGTTGGGTCAATGTCGGAAGAGATTACAACCTCTGAAGGCTTTGGCATGCTGTGGAAAGGGAGTAGGAGTCCCTGTGCTACGAATGTTATACTTGAGTACTGTAAGATCTCTTATTGATTATGCTGCACCTGTCATTTCTTGTTTTGGTAAAGGTAGGATGGGCAAGTTGGAGAAGGTACAAAATGAAGCAATGAGAATTATCTTAGGATGCCCAAGAAATGCTATGATTGAGATAATGAGGATGGAGTTGAATCTGCAGAGTATTGGGGATAGAATTTCAGAGATAAATGTAGCCTCTGCCATTAGATTAATGAGAGGTGGGGGAGCTAATGAATTAATCCTCTCGGTTCAAAAGGTGGGAAGTAGTGAACAGTGTATGATGAAGAAGAGAGTATATATGAATAAATTATGTCATAATGTTATAAAGTATGATGTTATTACAGTGTGTGTTGCTGTGCCCAAGAGAAAATTTACACCACCATGGGAGGATTGTAATGTAGATGTAGTAATTACTCCCTTGCATAAGAAAAAAAGTATGTATGAAATAGGAGAGCTGAGGGCAACATATGATTGTATAATTAGAAAACTGCCTACGGAAAACACTCTACATGTATATTGTGATGGGTCAGTAGCTAGGGATGGGAAGGCAGGATGTGGAGTCTTGATCAGGGAGTACACTGACATCGGCACTGTAGATACTGTTATTGGACGCCGCTTAACTGACAATGTCTCTTCAACGCAGGCTGAACTCCAAGGTGTATTAGCAGGATTACAGGAAGTAGTCAAATGTGGTAAAAATGCTTGCTTCTTTATTGACAGCAGAGGAGCGTTAGAGTCTTTAAATAGCAGACGCCCAGTATACCAGAATATTGTGATAGAGTGTAGAGAGAATGTTAAGAGACTTGAAAAAACTGGGTATAAAGTAAGATTCATGTGGATCCCTTCACATGTGGGAATACTGTTGAATGAGGTAGTTGATGACATAGCGAAGAGAGCCACTGAAAAAACTCTTGTTGATGTTGTATGTCAGTTATCCTTGAAACAAATAAAAACTAGACTCAAGGCTAAATCATTTATATATATTATAAACAACAGAGGTCCCAGGACAGAGCCTTGAGGCACTCCACTTACAACATTTTCCCACTCTGACTTGATTCCATTTATACTAACTCTCTGTTTCCTTTGGTATAGCCATGCCCTAATCCAGCTTAATATAGCACCCCCAATACCATGAGACTATTTTTTTAATCAGTCTTTCATGTGGCACTGTATCAAAAGCTTTGCTAAAGTCAAGGTATACAACATCGCAATCCTTACCACTATCAACTGCCTCAACAATGCTAGAATAAAAAGATAACAAATTTGTTAAACATGAACGGCCATTTATAAAACCATGTTGCGACTCAATTATTAATTTATGTTTTTCAAGATGAAGACGAATTTTATTTGCTATTATAGATTCGAGTAACTTTCCCACAATAGACGTTAGGCTAATTGGTCGATAGTTAGACGCAAGTGATCTATCTCCTTTCTTAAAAACTGGTATCACATTAGCAACTTTCCAAAACTCTGGCACTCTGCCTGACTCTATTGATTTATTAAATATGGTTGACAGTGGGTCACAAAGCTCCTCTTTGCATTCTTTAAGCACCCTAGCAAACACTTCATCCGGCCCTGGGGATTTGTTTGGTTTGAGTTTTACTATTTGTTTAAGAACATCCTCCCTGGTAACTGCTAAACTCGTCAACCTGTCCTCGTCCCCACCCACATAGACTTGTTCGGCTGAAGGCATATTGTTAAGTTCCTCTTTAGTAAATACAGATACAAAATATTTATTAAAAATACTACTCATCTCTTCATCACTATCTGTTATTTGACCTGTCTCAGTTTTTAATGGACCTATCCTTTCCCTAGTCTTAGTACGATATAACTGAAAAAACCCTTTAGGATTTGTCTTTGCTTGCCCTGCTATGCGAACTTCATAGTTTCTTTTTGCTTTCCTTATCTCTTTTTTAACATTTCTAACCAGTTGTACGAATTCCTGTTCTAAAGTGACCTCCCCATTTTTAATCCTTTTGTACCAAGCTCTCTTTTTACCTATAAGGTTCTTCAAATTCTTTGTTATCCACTTTGGGTCATTAGTATACGATCTATTCAATTTGTATGGTATACTACGTTCCTGTGCTTTGTTTAGAATATTCTTAAATAAGTTATATATTGAATCCACATCGAAATCCCCATTTAAGTCACCTATCGCTGGGTTCATGTCTCGCTCCAAGACCGGCCCACACCCCATACCCAAGCCTTTCCAATCA